GTGTTCGAGAGTATATAGTTTACTTTTGATTGGCATTATGATTAATAATGGAGGTTACCCTTCGTTTGATTTGGAATGGCATGCATATATTTGCTCTTTTGTAATAAGCGGCTTGAATAGATACCGGAGTATATTGAACTAATACATTTTCTAATAGATGTATGAATATAGAATTCACTTTCAAGTGACCCCGGTTCATGGCGATGGCCGATGATATAAGCGCATCATGGCGGAGGCTTTAATAGATAATTATCTACCATGATGTGAGATAATTTAGTGTATGTTCAAGAGCATGTGTCAGTTTACCGTTGCCTATGCACATATATTAGTTGCTCGTATGGTGTTAAGCAAATCAATTAATGTTGTAAAATTTGTTTATTGTCCCCGAACTTTACAACTTAAGCTATGGTCTTTCAAAGTAACAATTAACTTTCTTTATTTCATGATATTTTGATGCACTTCAGTGTTTAATGTCCTCATATTCTTATTATTTTCCCAGATTGCTTCTTTTCTTTAAAGGTCTGGAATGTGCAGAAGGCTGGTGCTTCTGCTGTGCTTGTTGCAGATGATATTGAAGAACCTTTAATAACCATGGACACTCCTGAAAAGGATAGTGCATCTGCCAGATACATTGAAAATATAACGATTCCGTCTGCCCTTATTCAGAAAACTTTCGGTGAAGCTCTAAAGAAAGCAGCCAGTGGTGGGGATATGGTCAATGTTAATCTCGACTGGCGCGAGTCTGTTCCGCACCCTGATGATCGTGTGGAGTATGAGTTATGGTCCAACAGCAATGACGAATGTGGAGTTAAATGTGATATGCTGATGGAATTTTTGAAGGATTTCAAGGGTGCCGCTCAGATACTCGAGAAAGGTGGCTATACTCAATTCACACCTCATTATATAACGTGGTACTGCCCTCAGGCTTTCACCATAAGCAAACAGTGCAAATCTCAATGCATCAACCATGGAAGATATTGTGCACCTGATCCTGAACAAGATTTTAGCTCAGGTTATGATGGGAAAGACGTTGTGATTGAAAACTTAAGGCAGCTATGTGTTTTCAGAGTGGCAAATGAGTCCAATAAGGCTTGGTTGTGGTGGGACTATGTGACGGATTTTCAAATAAGATGCCCCATGAAGGAGAAAAAATATAACAAGGAATGTGCTGATGAAGTTATCAGATCTCTTGGTATATAGTTGATTGAAAGGATCCTATATTTCACTTATAACTTCTTCTAATAGCACCTTCAAGAAACAAAGTATTACTTGAAATTAGTTATGACTGATTCATGACATTCTCATACAATCTGTTCAGGGCTTGATAGTAAAAAGATTGAAAACTGTATGGGAGACCCTAATGTTGATGCCGATAATCCTGTTCTGAAAGAAGAACAAGATGCTCAAGTAAGTCTCTTATGCTTAGATATTCATGTTTTTATACTTTATTTTTTATGTATTTCTTGTCATCCTTGACCTTTCTGGAGCTCTTAACCATGGGAAGTCTGTTTAATAGAAGTAAACATTTTCTGTAGGTAGGGAAAGGATCCAGGGGTGATGTTACCATATTGCCGACTCTTGTTGTCAACAATCGACAATATAGAGGTTTGTATTCACGCATATTTCAAAGATACATTTTTGGTGCTTTCCTTCTTACATATCTGTGTACAGGGAAGCTGGCCAAAGGTGCTGTTCTAAAGGCCATCTGTTCTGGTTTTGAAGAGACTACTGAACCTTCTGTTTGTTTGGGCGGTGGTACGTTTTTCCTATATTTTCTTGCAAGTGAAATATGTTTGTCAGTTGCCTCTAAAAAGGGGGGGGCATAGAATGTAGCCTTCAGCTTCGAAATGAAAATTGAGTGACAAATTACTGAGGGGCAAGGGCTAGTCTCATAGAATTCCAGAGCCTGCTCTGGGAAGATGTGACAAAATCTAGTGGTTCAACTTACATCTGGTTATTTGAAACAAGAGTTATGGTGGGTTCTTTTTCAGATGTGGAGACGAATGAATGCTTGGATAACAACGGTGGTTGTTGGCAAGATAAAGCAGCCAATCTCACAGCTTGCAAGGTATGAATTAAAACTTTGTCGATGGAGGTTCTCTACTTGCTTATGACAGCATTAACTCTTACTATATGTTGATATGCCCAGGATACTTTTAGAGGTAGGGTCTGTGAATGTCCCTTGGTTGATGCTGTGCAATTCAAAGGAGATGGTTATACTCACTGTGAAGGTGAGGATTGAGATTCATTGTTGATAACTCCATATTGTGACAAACTGGATTTGTTGTTTGTACTTGTGTCTCGGTTTGAAGCCCCTTCATGAATGTTTGCATATGTCTCGTAGAGGCAAGACAAGTTCATTGAAAAGGGGCTTTTTACCTGCTTTTGTCTTCAATCAATCTTATCTCTGCTTGATATTATCTAACATGCTATTTTCTTTTTGCCATTCAGCTAGTGGGCCTGGAAGATGCAATATTAACAACGGAGGTTGTTGGCATAAATCGCAGGATGGACATTCATACTCTGCTTGTTTGGTTAATTTCTAAGCTCCTCCTATTATGTTCTTTCCTGTCCTTTTGAAAATAATTCAAATTCTAAAGGATGCTTTGAACAGGATATTGGAGATGCTAAATGCCAGTGTCCTTCAGGGTTTAAAGGTGATGGTGTCAAAAGTTGTGAAGGTGAATTCCCGAACGATTAAATATTATGTTTCGAGATCTTATTAGGAACTCAAACTTATACATTCAAATTCAAGCAAACGGAGATTAATATTTCTTCCATTTGTCATCTTGCAGATGTTGATGAATGCAAAGAGAAGAAAGCCTGCCAGTGCCCTGAATGTAGCTGCAAAATACATGGGGAAGTTACGAGTGTACTTGCAGCGGTGATCTTTTGTATATGAGGGACCATGATACCTGCATAAGTGAGTTGGTGGACCTAGGATTTACTCAGAACCTATTTTCTTTCGAGTCTATAATATACATCTAGTGTTTTGATGTCGAGTCCTTTTTCTATCACAGGTAAGACTGGTACTGAAGTAAGATCAGCATGGGCTGCTGTTTGGATCATTTTAATCGGCTTGGCTATGGCTGGTGGTGGTGCATATCTTGTTTACAAATATAGACTAAGGGTAAGTCAGTGCATTGTATTATAAAATAAACCTATATAGGGTTTTGACCTTTGGACTGCATTGAATCCTTTTGGTAGGGAGGCTTGGCTTGAATATGTTGTGTTTCTTCTTGTAATGTTTTACTTGTTTTGTTACTTTTGCAGTCATACATGGACTCTGAAATCCGAGCTATAATGGCACAATACATGCCTCTGGATAGTCAAAGCGAAGTTCCAAACCACGTAAGTGAAGATCGTGCATGAACAAGAAACTTGAATATTTTCCAAGGGAGGGTGGTCGATGCGGTTGTTTTTATACCCTTGATTCATTTGGATTTCAAGCATGGATGTTATTGGTATGTAAAATACGTCGGACAATAAAGAGATTCAGATTAGAAGCTGGTCTTTGTTCCTTGATAGCTTAAAACCATAAGGGATACAAATGTACTACTCAACTGTGACGTCTAAGAAATTGATTTACAAATTCTAAATCCCCAGGATGTCTCATAATTTGTGGCAAGTTGTGTACTGCATTCATGCCATTTAACTGAGTTTTTTTGTTTCTTTATTGTATTTTATCTTGAACTTAAGGAGAGTTGAAACATGAAAGGCGAGCATTGTTTTCTTTTGACTATTGAAACCTCGAGATTTGCACACACCGTTGGTGTTTTTGGTTTCAAGCTTTCTATTAACATATTGTTGAGTAGTTTACCTTTGTTCCATTGGGGACAAGATTCTGAAGAATTGAGTCATTAATCCTTTCCCTTCTTTTCTGCAAAGTGAATAAGAAAGAATGATTAATAATAGGTTTTACATTTACATTCATTTTAATCCATGCTTCACCACAATCTCTTGATATACAGCTTCAAGATATTATGTATAGTTATCCTTGCATAAAGGCTTCGGGGATCAACGACTGCTCTCGAGGAGGCACTTGGTTTGCCCTTTTAACTCTTGAGAAGCATTTGCATGCTCGTCTCAATTAGTCCGGCTTTAGCCTTTGCGACCGAGACGTTTTGATTCTTCTTTGACCTCTAATTTCTCTGGTTCTTTTGTACCATTGAATTATGAACAGAGCATTCAGCATAAAGATAATCCCTACCAAAGGAACAATGCATTTTTCTTTATACTCATATCCTGACCTTCTTCAAAATTCTCTTATACGCTGTTACTCTTTTATCTACAATCTGTTGGTTTCCCTCTTGATTTCCAGAAGCTTACCGGAGAGAGCAGCTTCGACGAGAAACGAGCTTGTGATAGTTGCATCTTCCATACAAAAATCCTTTGGCATGGGGCTATGGTTGGTTAAAACGAAAACCGGATTACTAAAAGTTATAAAATGATCATCTGATTATTTATATGTTTCAAATTCGTCATTTTCTGTTACAAAATTGATAACAGTCTGAATTGGATATTAATCTTTTGACTGTGTGACTATTTTGTAACTTTTAATAGTCTAACTTTTGTGGTAACTTTTTTAACGGAAAATAACAAATTTAGAACATATGAATAGGGGTAACCATTTTGTACTTTTAATATGGACTCAACAAAATAACATTCTATAGTTGAAAAGATCATTTTGTAACTTATGATAGTTGGGGATTAAACAAAACATTATCTTATAATTGGGAGATTATTTGGTATTTTGCCTAAAATTTTATATTATATTTAAAGAAGTTGTTATTTTATTTTTTAGGCTCAATTTAAATCAAAAATATTATTTAATTATTTTATCAAATACTTGTTTAACTGAAATTATTTCATTGGTCCTTCAGTTTTGGGGAATAAAATGGCATTGGTGTAATTACATGGCAAACAAGTGGGCTTTTTTGGGTTTAGAAAGCACTGTCTCAATCTTTAAAAAGAAGAAGAAGAAATATACAAATATTTTATTTCTTGTTTATTTTCAAATCTCATTCCCTCTCGCTTTCACACTCTACACTCTGAAAACCCTAAAATCTCTCACTCGTCAGTCCCTTCATCTCTCCAACGGCCCAATCAAGCAATGACACCTGTACACCCGCCTCCGGCACCGGGACGCGAGCTCTCCAACCCTCCGACGGAAGGGATCTCGAACCTTCGATTCTCCAACCACAGCGATCACCTACTCGTCTCCTCATGGGATAAGGTGCTCCCTCACCATCAATTACCTTTAAAACTTTCAAGTTTTCTTTAATTTCCAACTGACAGATATTTCTTCTATAATAGACTGTGAGATTGTATGATGCAAGCGCCGACTCATTGCGAGGAGAGTTCATGCACGGTGGGCCCGTGCTCGATTGTTGCTTCCATGATGATTCCTCTGGGTTTAGTGCCAGTGCTGATAATACCGTTAGGAGGTTAGTTAATTAAACTTTGGAATTGCCTTTGTTTTTTCTGTTTGGTTCTCGAGAATGTTTAGTAAAATGAATTTTGGAATCAAGCTTAAAATTGAGCTCTTAGCTTTGCAGGATAGTGTTCAGCCATGGAAAGGAGGATATTTTAGGTAGACATGATGCTCCTGTGCGTTGTATAGAGTACTCTTATGCAGCAGGTTGGTTGAAATAACAAATCTTCTTCTCTCATTTAATTCCTTGGGTTTCATTTAGTGCGGATTTCAAGTGTTTTTACCAAAGTTCAACATTGTTTCCTGAATGTTTCTGGAAGCATTGACTCTAGCTGAATCATAATTCAATGATTTTTAGCCACAAATTTAACATCAATCTCATTGTTTATGAATAAAAACGTTTTGACGGTTAGAATAGTGTCATGCCAGTGCTATGGATTATCTTGGAAAATGGTATTGGGAGCATTTTGTTTTATTTAAGAAGATATCTGGTTTCTTAATGTTTCATTCTGTCTGTTACAGGACAAGTTATCACAGGCAGTTGGGACAAGACCTTGAAATGTTGGGACCCAAGAGGAGCAAGTGGCCAGGAGAAAACTCTTGTTGGCACGTACCCACAGCCTGAGCGAGTTTACTCATTATCTCTAGTTGGAAATCGCTTAGTTGTGGCAACTGCAGGAAGGCATGTAAATGTTTATGATTTGCGAAATATGTCGCAGCCTGAGCAACGAAGGGAATCTTCATTGAAATATCAAACTAGGTGTGTGATATGTTATCCAAACGGAACAGGTACTAGTCATAACCTCTAAAAGTAATAATATTTAGATGAATGGTTAGATTTTTAGAGGTTTGATCCATTCATTCTACTTGGTAAAATTTATTCTCATTAGACAAGTTTATGTAGGATATGCTCTTAGTTCAGTTGAAGGTCGGGTGGCAATGGAGTTCTTTGATCTTTCAGAGGCCAGTCAAGCCAAAAAGTATGTATCATTCTTTTCCTTTAGCAGTATACCTTGAGGTTATGCTGCCTATGTGTATAACTTAAACTTTCGAACTGTTCTTCAGCTGATCCTACCTGTTTTTTCATTTTCTTTTGCATCAATTAATGGCTATTCTGGATAATCTGTAGATATGCCTTTAAGTGCCATCGGAAATCTGAGGCTGGCCGGGACATTGTATATCCAGTAAATGCCATTGCATTCCATCCCGTGTAAGTTTATGTACAAGTCTTTAACTTCTTATACATGCTAAGATAGCATATTACCTTTATGATGTAGCATGTAGGCATTGTCCTTAATTATAATGAAGGCATATTGCCTTGAGTATTTTGGCGTTTGTACGAGTAGCTGATATGTAGAGATGACAATTAGTAATGAAAACTAGATGCACACGTAGTGATGGGAAATTGGGAGTCTGCAAGATACATTGGTATTTTTCTCTCTTATTTGATTTGTATACCGCCGAGAAATAAATAAATTGCAAAATCTGTGTTGCTAGTAATATCCTACATTTTAGCATTTAAGACATGAGGTTACACATTTTTTTGGTAATGCTTTTCAGTTAGGCTCAATAGATTCTTTCTGGTAGCTTGCAAATAATTAATATCTGCTTTGAATTTCAACCTGCAGCTATGGTACATTTGCAACCGGAGGATGTGATGGTTTCGTTAATGTGTGGGATGGAAACAATAAGAAGAGGCTGTATCAGGTTAGTTACTGGATTGAACTGCACTTTTATTTTACAGTGCAAAAAAAAGCAGATAATATACCATTACTATCAAATTATCTTATGCAGTATTCAAAGTACCCAACAAGCATTGCAGCTCTTTCATTCAGTAGAGATGGACGATTGTTGGCTGTGGCATCAAGTTACACATTCGAAGAGGGGGATAAACCGTAAGACTCCTACAATGTCTCAAGTGAACTCAAAAACCTCAAAGTAAACCATGTATATCAGACATATCGACTTATAATTCTGATCCGTTTCTTGTGTGCAGACATGAACCGGATGCCATCTTTGTACGAAGTGTAAATGAAATTGAAGTCAAGCCGAAACCAAAAGTGTACCCTAACCCTCCAGCATAGCCGAGTAAGGATCTTTTTATAATTTATGGTAATTTGAGACATGTAATATGTTAAAAAGTCTTCAGTGGATGTTCTAAACTTAGAGTGCTTTAGGGTGTGTTTGGTTGAGAGGAAAAGTAGTAATATGGAAAGAAAATCCATTTCGAGTGTTATTCGTATGAAAGAAAATCATAATGCTTAAAAACAAATCGTTCCAAACTGGAGTGATAAGAGAAGAGTGAATGAGTGGTACAAGTTAAGCATGCAATATTAGAAATAGCTTCCAAGTGCACAGGATTTTATTCCCGATTTCTTTGGATAGCCACTTTGTGTTGAAATATATTACTTGTTGATTTGTACCATACATTTTTTTTCCAAATCAGTATCCGTGCAATCTCTTTTCTAAGTAATTGATATTAAATTTTCAAAATAAAGCTGAAATATATTACTTGTTGATTTGTGTTGAAGTATTTTTTTAGTCATTAACAATGCACACACCCATAGACACAACTACTTGAAAATAAGACTTAAAGGAAGAACAATAATTCTTTTAATCATTAAGAGTGCGTTTGGTTCACGGAATATAAGATTACCAATGGGAATAGGATTACCGGAATGTAACATTACCTAACACATTACTGGGAATGTTACATTACTGTGTTTGGTTTGTTTGACAGTAATGTAAGATTACAGTGTTTAGTTGATGAAGTTACAAATTACTGGAATGTATATTTTACCAAATTGACATTTTTCTATATTTTTTAACAAGTGAAATTCTAATTATTTAAAAAAATATTTATATAAAAATTAGATTCAATGAACAAGTCATGGAATAAATAAAAAATTTTTATATAAAAGTTAGATTCTAATTATTTAAATAAAAATTATTTATATAAAAATTAGATTCAATGAACAAGTGAAATAAATCTCACGTAATATATTTGTTTCTTCTACTACTCATCCCAAATTTACATTCACTGAACAAGTTAAGCACGACTCAACTAACTAACGACTCAAGCACAATTCAACTAACTAACGACTCGCTATAAACACCCCTACGTGAGATAACACCAATCAACCCTCCCCTACCACGTAGTTCACAAGCCAACACATGCACAACTTTGATATAAATCACAAGGACCTAACTTTGATATAAGATCACAAGGACTCGCATCATATTTGAACATGAGAAAACTTTAAAAATTGAATGTACCATTATCGACAAACACACATAAAAAATGACACTGAGTTTGAATAACATAGATAAATCATTCTTGTCATAAATAAATAGGTTTCATCTTTTTGTTCTGAAAATTTTCACCTCCATAATGTTATCAGAAAGAAAAATAAAATGAACAAGACAAAACTCATCCATAAAGGTCGATGGCTAACAATTATATATATGTAATATATATCTCGTCCAATCTTCAATCAACCATCCCCTTACATCATCATCAGACGCCACACTGATTGAAATTTCATTGTGAGAGCAGTTTTGAGTCGCATGCTACTATTTTGACTCGACCAACATTTTCCTGAGAATCCTCGTTCTTAAACAAGCATCCTATAAGATGAAGGTCCAAACATTGTCGCAGAATCTATAGGTGTGCAGATGTCCCTGTAGCATAACATACAAGACAAGATCAACATTCAAATGCAAATAACAGCACAGGCTTTTTGCCTGACAATGCTTGGTCGTATGTTGATTTAAAGGTCCGTTACTAAAGAATATAGAAGCCCACAAATAATGTATTTATGAATGGTGACTGTTCAAAATAAGTAATAACAAATATATTACTCAGACTCGAGTGAGAATCCTAGATATAAGTACATATCCAAGGTGAACATGCTTAATTTTTTCAAGTTTCCATGTAGTTAGAGTCCTTTGAGGAACATATCCTTATATCCATATACGAATATACTTCAAACATCGATACTTAAAAAGAAAATAAAGTCAAAGCAACCAAGTAGAAAAAGCTAAAAGTTTAGATACATAAGAAAAGAAACACGATTTAGAAAAATACTGATGAGCAATCAGAGGAGCCATGTTGCCAACTATCTGTTTTGACTGTTCTTGAAAAGTAAGGAACAAAACAAAGATACATTAACAGGTATGATAGAAAGGGACTTTTTCAAACAAATAAGCAGCACTACACAAGTCTATCATTTCAGGTCCTGAAAATGTTCATCTAGCATATATACTAAAATAACCCAATTTTTTTTGGCATGATTGAAGCCTGAAGGTTCGAAAATATAATTAAGATGTATTCACCCTGCACTTCAAATCATCAACACTGATCCTCGAAAACATTTTAGAAATAAGAGAGCCATGAAACATGGACATTTCCATCAAGGGAGTGTGAGTGTCCAAGTGTTGAAGATGTATCTCAGATGAACACGATTCCAACATGAAGAAATATATGCCATACGATAGGGCAAAAGAAGAAGCAATCATGTGTGCTGCAAGCCAGTACTCCCATAAATGCAAAGCAAGCATGTTGAAGATAAACAATAACCGATTACTACCACAATCAGGTACCATATATGCAACTCTACTACCATTACAATTAATACCCAAGCTAGATTTTGATCCCTGCAAATACTTGTAAAATAAATACAGGGGTATTTCACCATTCACGGAGGGTGAAAATTATCTTTCTTCGAGGATGGGAAGATCAAGGTACCACATTAAAAGATAAGGTTAACATTGCACTTAACTAACATATCTAAAACAAAATATTTCACTGCAGTTGATTATAGAAACAACAGATCACCGCAAACATAGAACACAAAGATCTTCATTTTCTACTCAAGTAAAAAGAATGTACCTTAATGGAAACCTTGCGTTTCACTCGACTTTCCAGGGCTTCAGTCATAGACTAACAAATATGAGAACAAAATGAAAAAATTATCAGGGAGGAAGGGGGAAGAGAGAGAATCAAAACAATGTTGTAACAATACCTTATCGAACTGGACGAGAACCTGACTCAGAGTACTGCTTGAAACCATCTCATCTAATGTCTCTGTCAAACACATCCCGATTGTTGACCTCCAGTAAAGCTCAAACGTCGCCATTATTCACCCAATCTGCGCAATTTTTTTTTTTGTAAATCTTGATATCGAAAAAAATTCTAATTTTTTTTTGTAAATCTCGATATCAAAAAATTTGCATATAATGATTTTGATTAAAAGAACAAATTGGAAAAAAAGATATCTTTGTGGATGAGTTTGGTTTTCTTACATAGGTTTTTTTTCCATTGAGTGGCTTTGCAAAGGGAGCGAGAGCTAAATTTTTCTTCATGTCCTCATTCCGCTGTGATGAGCCGGCAACCGTTGACGACTGTAAACCGAGAGTGAACAGGTGGAGGCTAGAGCGGTGAAGCGTGAGGAAGGAACGAGTGGCTTTGCAAAGGGATTTCAATTTTGGGAATTCTAATTTTGAGAACACAAACCCGTAATCAAGTAGAAGAAGAAGAAGATTGCAGCCAAAACGAAGTGGAGAGAAGGCTATTTTTAGATAACGGACGGGAATAATGAAATACCTAATGGGAAAACAGTAAAAAAAAATCACTGTTGGTTTTGGCTTTTAACCGGCACTTGGTAATGTTTACCCATCCAAATGTGGGTATATTCATCCAGAAAAAAATATTTCTCTCAAGAATAAATTATACCTTGAACCAAACGGGTCTAAGATTGCTTGATGGGTTAAAAAAATATGATTTAAAAAGGACATTTAAGATGAAACTTCCTTCATGCGGTCCTTGTTCAAACAAATTCCTGAACATCAAATATTCAAGATGCGAAGGGATAAGTCAAATTAATACTCCTTAAAACCAGATTAAAAAAAAACTAGTTACGAGTCTAGTCTTGGGATCCCATTGCCACGAAACTCCCCCATAGGAAATCAAATTGAGCAAACCATTCTTGTGAGCTTTCACATTTAAGTGATTATGTGAGGAATGATCTCATCGCCTTTTTACTTTTAACACATTTCCCATGCTGACTACATCTTTCTATTCATGACTCAGGCTAATTCCGTCAATTACACTAAAAGTATGAAATCCGTGTATTTTCTGTTGCCCTTAGTCTTGTTTTATTCTCGAGATATACTATTTTATAATTTTTAATAATTAAAAAATATAATAAAGTAATATTATATAATGGATTATTTATGTATTTTATTGCCAGATTAATTAAGCTTAGAACGTAATAATATTAAATATTGTAAGTAACTCAAAATTTACTATATTTTCCCCTTTGATACCCCATTTTCATAATTAAAGTCAAATACGTTGTCTTAGGCTCTTACCAATCATATAATAATTCAAAAATTCAAAACTTGATACGTTTATAGTATTAAACCAACTTTTGTTACGAGTCTTATCTCTGTCACGCACCCTAATCACGGCCAAACTCGTACGTTAACCTAAAACCGTACCAACACACTTCGTACCCATTAGAATTATCGACTACTCCTTTTTGCTGCATCCACGTGTTCAATTTCGTATTCCACGTGGCGAGATGGCGGCGACTCCCAATAAATGGACGGCTTCGATGCGGGATCTTATTCATCACGAAAGATGATATGATCGTATTCAACACGTGAGGGTAGTTCAAAAGGAGAGCCCCCGAAATTTTTTCCACGTGTAAGACACCCCGAATCAGAGCGCGCTGCGTGCCGTATTGCTTGTCGGTTTCGGGATCTGTTTAAGCTTTCTTTTACTACTGCACTCTTCTTGCGTAGAGCTCAACTCCTCCATGGTTTTGCGTAAGTACCCCTTAATACTTTAATCTTTAACAAAACAATCCCTCCATTTTGTAGTTATTTAAAAAGGAAAATATAACATTTAGTGAATTAAAAATGTTATTTTTACAAAAATAATTTAATAGACATTTTTTGGTTTATGATATTAACAATGTTAATGATTGAGCTACAAATTTCGAGTAAAACATTTTTTTATTTTCAAGTAATAAATTAAATTTTAAACTTAACTAAAGTTTAAAGAAAAATCAAATTGGTTTTATTAGATAATGTAATTCAGTCCAATGAAAAAGCTGACGAATGGCTTTAGAATTTTTTTTAAATACTTTTTTCTCCCTTTGTGTAATTTGACTCCTAACGTTGACATTGCAATATAATTTCCCCCTCAATTTTTGTTGGATGCAATTATATCTACGACTTTTATTTTGATCTACAATTTAGCCTCTAATTTTGGGTTTAATAATGTAATTTGGCTACTGACCTTTTTAATATAAATTTATCCTTAGCTATTTTTTTATTTTTTGATTAAATTAAGATTTTAAATATAATTATTAACCTTGTTATAGTTTTTAATTAATAAATAAAAAATTTAGTCTTAATTTTAAAATTATATAAAAAAATAGACATGAGCCAAATTGCAATTCAATGTTAAAGCCAGGGGCCAACTTGTAACTCAAATCTAGAGTCATGGCTAAATTACACCAAAAAAATCAGGGAATAGATTGCATATAAAAGTCATAGTCAGGGATCGAAAAGTACATTAACCAATTTAGGGTGGGGAATATCATTGAAATTTAAAAAGGAGTAATACTGTAAAAAGGCTGGAAGAGTAAAGAGAAGATTATTCTAGAAAACAAGGAAGATAATCATAGGAGCTGGTATCGTATCAGTTGCACATGTGGCGAATAATGGATGTTTCTCGGGAATAAGCTGTCTTTCTTTCCTTCTAGAGGCCAACCCGCGATGAAGTATAAAAAACTAGCACATTTTCACGACAAAAAAAAGTTACAACAGATTCTCTCAACCAATCATTTATCAACACGTCATCGATTTTTTATTATTTACTTTCCTTTTACAGCATTTTTGTTTGGGCAGTAATTGCAGTAACTCTCCAAGATGGAGAATCATTGTGAAATTAACCAATGGTTTATTTAGAAGAGTTTGATTTTTCACTTGAGATAAGTGTACATTGTATCATTAAATTGTGATTATTATTTTAAATTAATTTTTAAGTTTTAAAATATTTTATCTTAATTTTCAAATTATAATTCCCATTTTAAATTAGCTCTTAAACTTTAAAATAATCTATACTAAACTTTAAATTATCAATACCATTTTGTACTTGTATTAACTCTTTTGGTTAAATATAGTATGTTTTTAAAATTTATAACAATTGAATTCATGATCTTCCAAAAAATTCAAATCTTCAAGTAATTTTTTTAGAATATCATGTGTTCAACTTCAATACATTCAAAACATTAAATTTTATTAGATCACATGTTCAATTCTTAGGAATTTCAAATAAATCAGTAGAATTGATGTTCCATTAACGAAATAATCAAAATAGGATGATATTGATAATTTGATGACTGATATAAAATATTTTTAAGTTTATTATTCAATTTAGAATAAAATTATAATTCAGAGACTGATATATAATTTTGAAATTTAGAGATCAATTTAAAATAAAGTCGTAATCTAAGGATATCCCATACAATTAACTCTTTTTAACTTATATGCCAAAATTGTACCAAATGAGTGGTGGTGGACTGGACACGGCCTAAGACAAGAAAAAGAAAAACTAAGTGGCTTGGTTTTACGAGTAATTCTTCGCAACAGTCTAATTTAAAAATAAAAATGATAATTTTAAAGTATAACTGAGAATATAATAAAAATAATATTTTCTATTATATTCAATTTGAAAAATTATAATTTTTATTTTATTTTCAGTTACATCTTAAAATTACCATTTTTAACTTTAAAATATGTTTTCACTCCTTGCACATCCCTTTGGTTTAATCATTTGTTAAATAAGAGTAAATAGTAGCAGCATTGCATTGAGTTGGAAGCAGTCTCTGGCGCCACCCATTTCATCGTAGAGTCGTAGTTGACCCACCTCGCTTCCTCCTTACTCCTTAGCTACCACTTCCCCCTATATATATCCCCACCATTTTCACTCTCTCTCCAGCAATTACAAAATTCTACTTTCTGCAACACATCCATGGCTCTTGAAGCTCTCAGTTCTCCTACCCCTTTCACCAACAAATATGACGACATCGACACTTGGAAGAAAGGCAAACTTTCTAAACGCCAACGCAATGACTCTCCTATTCAACCCACCACTGAAGAAGAGTACATCGCTCTCTGTCTCATCATGCTCGCTCGTGGCCGCTCCCCCTCTTCGTCACCGCCTCCACCCGCTGCTGCTGCTCCGCCTCTGCCTTTGAACTTGTCCTACAAGTGCAGCGTTTGCAACAAGGCTTTCCCTTCTTATCAAGCTTTGGGCGGGCATAAGACCAGCCACCGCAAGCCCTCCACCGATGCCGCGGCTACCACCACCAACGTCGATAATCCATCAACAACCGGCGCCACCACTAACGGTAGCGGTAGGCTTCATGAGTGTTCCATCTGCCACAAGAGTTTCCCTACAGGTCAAGCCTTGGGAGGCCACAAACGTTGCCACTACGAAGGCGGCAACAACAAGTCCGGTAGTAGCCCCAGCGTCAGCGTCAGCTGTGTGACGTCATCAGACGGCGCCGCTTTGAGTCAGAACCACCGTGTCCCCGACTTTGACTTTGACCTCAACCTACCCGCTTCGCCGGAGTTCTGCGGGGAGAACAAAGATGGAAGATTCAGTCAAATGTACGGAGAAGAAGAGGTTGAAAGCCCATTGCCAACAAAGAAACCACGTTTTTTCATTTCCAGAAAAGAGAATCTGGATTCAGAATCAAATTGAATTCACAAAAACATTAATCTTAATTTATTCAGTTTATCCTGGGATTTGTTCATTGTTTATGATGTTTGTAGTCAGACGGCGCTGCCGATTCATTGGTTGATTTATAAAAGAAAAATATTTGAGAAACAAACATTAATGATTGTAGATATAAATGAATCTTTTTTCCATCAAAGTAAAAGTTAATGTTTTTGTGTTATTATATATAGGTTAGCCGCGTGAACACAGGGAAAGGACAGCAGGCAAATAGTAGAAGGTAGGCGGTGGTGTTATGAAAAGGAGAACCAGCCCAAGTTGAGGGACATATGATTACCGGTTGAGGGTTGAGGGTTGAGGGTTGAGAGAGGGGGTGTGATTCCACCCATGTGATTTAATGCACATGTTGGCACCATAACCGGATCATAATGATGGGATCATTATAATTTATTAATTAACTATGACTAATTAAAATTGTTAATAAAAAAATTAGATTTTATTGATAATGGTTTGTTTCTTTTTTATTTGAGTGGAGAGTTATAATCGTGAGAAAATAATAGTTGGTCAATCTATTTATATTGTACTTGTTATAGATTTTGTCTAAAAGTCTGATCCGTACAATGTAACCGGCTCATAGCCTTGGCCTTTCTACTTGGAGGAGTAATATTCTTTAGAAGTTTTAAGAGTTGATCATTTCCGGAAATTATTTTCTGAAACAATAGCAAAAACTATAATAAGATGGAAAATTTATGGTTTGTTTCCATTGGCTTGAGAAATGAAAAGGAAAAGGTGAAAGTGTATCACATACCCTTTTACCGACTACTTTCCTCCTGATTTTCCATAAAACGCGGCTGTGAAATGGCCAACACGGAAACATTCAACTATTCAAGCTACGTAATATAATTTAACAATGCTTTCATGGTAACTTCAAAAAACTTCCTACTCCAATCTCATACCAACTTTGCCCAATCTGACATTCAATTCTAATTCTAATGAACGTCATATATCGTACATTACATAGAAATCAATTTTAAAATTTTATGTTTGAATTATATTGTGTCTTGATTTATCTCCTATTTTAAATTTTTATTCAATTTAATTAATAAATATGTATTTATAGTATCGTTATCTTGAACTAACTAAACGATCTTAGTGGTTAAATGATTTATTATTACTATCCATTGAGGCCTTGGATTCGAGCACCGTATATATAAGGAGTATGAGCGTTTATTGTCAAATAGTTGAAAGTCTTTGAGTAGATAATACCTTATATTAACCTTAGATTTATAAAAAAAAAATCATAATCTTTTTATAAATTTTACATGTTAATAATTTATTGTATATAAATTTTATCATATTTGTGTAATCATTCGATTTTTATATTATATCATATTTTAATTATCTTAAATTTTTTTCAGATGATTGCTTAATTTGTTTCACATGGTTTTTTCTTGAATAATTTAACTTTAACTCTTTATAATTAAATAATATCTTCTTTTATTCCCTACCCCATTTCATTAATTTGTTTATTGAGAAAAAGAGAGAAAAAAATTGAATTATCCAACACTCCCACCCCATAAATTCCCAGGGTTTAATGGTTGATGATTGATTCCGAATTTTCCAGAATTAACCCCATAAATTTCACTTTTTTTTTGCTCTAATATATGCCAAAGCCCAAAAGATATACATCAACCGTTAAATTATATAAAACTAATGGATTTATACATGGGCCTTGAGGGTTAGTGTCATACCTAAAGTAACGATGACTACTTGTAAGTTGGAAGGTGAGTGAATTTGGCCGTCACACACATAATAAATTTTATCGGTGATACACTTGACATCAATCAGATTAAGAGATATGAATTTTCATAAGTTTCTAAAAAATTTTAAAACTTTCGATAGACGAAAGATGAGACTACGAAAATATAATTTACGAAATAGATACAAGAAATATAGATACTTATCGTTAAGAATGAATAATTAAAGAATTAGCAGCCTCCATATGACAAAAAGCATGTAATATACATATATTAATGTTTCCCAAAACTCAGTAGGAGACTGTTAGGGACGTTGTTCTAGTTTTCCAGGCTATAGATAAGTGGCAAAGGGTAAGCAATGAAGTTGAATGATGCTTCTTGTTGTCTGCAAATTGGCCTAATTTATTTGCAAGTGGCATTTGTAATCTGTAGGGATACACTAATATATATTGGTTCAGTTTTGGACAAATTCTAGCATGTTTTATCACCTTTATTTTGACTAGTACAATTCAGTAAGAATGGGGAATATTTATGTGTGTGTGGACCTACAGTTTTTGAGTAAATTATTTTCAATGTTTTAAATTAATCATTATTACCGTTAACTCGGTTAAAAGACATGCGGATAAATTACATATTTAGTCACTTAACTATTTATGCGGTTCTGTTTGAGTTACCTAGTTATTTTTTTTTCAAAATCATCACTAAACTTAAGTTTTTGTTATGTTTATAGTCATCCAATTCAATTCAATTTATTTTTAAAATTTTTAATGTACAATAATTCATTTATAATATATTTTTTACTCCACATATAAATTTTTACAATAATAAATAATATTATACAATGAATAATAAATAATATATTAAGCACTTAATCTAGTAAATGTTAATAATATATAATAAAAATTTACAATATGTACCATAATAGTGTGAATATTAATCATTTTCAAGAGTTAACAATGTTTGAGTTGATTTCCACTAAATGTTGATATTTTTATGTGATTTCTCTCGTATTTTTTAAGTACTGAATCTAGTGGTGACTTTTACAAGCAAGTCGAAGGATAAAGAGAAAACTGGTTAAGCTTCTAGCATTGAGCGGAAGTTGATTCAATGAGTACTTCAGTTTGCTGCATGTTTGCACAACTTATAGTGCTATTTATGAACTTAATTAGGATTAGGGTAAACCCTTTTTCTAAGTTCCCTAGTAAGTGATTCCTTCTCCTTACCTTGATTTCATTCCCAATATACATGTACAAGAGTTGTTTATGTATTCCAACTGATTTTTCAACGTAATAAATATAATTTGATCATTGTTTTAAAGTAACTTATATGATTTACGAAATGGTACGTAAAGAACTATGCGATTTTACAAATATATGTTGCATCTAAATATGCACTTGTGGCAGCTAGAGTGCAAAACATGAAATGAAATATACATGATAATATGTATGATTTTCAAATAAATTTACAATAGTGAAGGGTGCATTTAAAACAAACATACATGTATACGAAACATGATATTTTTTTATTAAAATTAAATAATCAATATTTCTTTTAGTAGAATTTTAATTACATACAAATTAATATGTTGTTATTATTTATCTTATGATATTACTTCTTATTGTAAATTAAATTTATGTATCGAGTAAAAATATAATATAAATGAATGCTTATGCATTAAAAATTTTAAAAATAAATTGAATTAAATTGGGTGACCAAAATGTAACAAAAACTTAAGTTTAGTGATGATTTTGAAAAACAAATAGTTGGGTAACTCAAACAGAACTGCATAAATAGTTAAATGACTAAATATGTAATTTACCCACATATTTTTTAATGGAGTTAACGGTTTAGGGCAAATGAGGTAAGAATTTAAGTTTTAGGGGCAAAACGTCCTGAAAAATACTTCAAAGGACAACTCGGTACAAACGATATAATTTAGGGGACAATGAATTATTTAAGCCTCGATTTTTTAAAATAAAATCATCTATTTTTATGTAAATGGAAGTCATCAATTTTATTAAAAAAAGAATATTCAAAATTATAATTAATATTTATAATCATAAACTTTTTTTTCTTTTTACTCTCCGTCTCTATATATAAACAAGCCAATGATGCATGTGACGTATGGCATGATGCATGTCAAAGAAACACAGAAGAGAGATCAAATGGTTGGCATGATGAAATCAGTCTTGAAATGGGAAAATTAAGCAAATTTGATTTTAAACTTTTAAGAAGAGCACGTGACGTGCATTTGCGTTAGTCGTCCACCAAGTAATCCCTTTATTTACTATTATTATTTCCCCCCCCTTCACGTATAGTACAGTAATGAGGGCGATTACAATATAATATTTATTATAAATATTTTTAATTATTTGATAATTAAAATTCAAACATTTTTATGGTCTCTAATCTTCAAACTTAATATCTCTAAGAATAACAACAATCCATTTAACCACCGAGAAAATTAATTTGTGCTTTGGGATTTCATCTTTATTTAATGTTGAAAATTTAAGAAATATATAAATTGAAGAGGGAGCAATGGATAACCTAGAAGTAAAGGTGGTGTTGGGCAAATATGGGCAAGCAAATCAAACAAACCTCTAAAAGCATGTGGTGGGTCAAAGAGAGATTGGGGAGCTATGTTTCTACACCTAGCAGGCTAGCATATGGTCATACGCTACGCCATTTTATTCACTCTGAGATAATTTATGTTGGATTAATTGAATCATATGTAGTTAAAATAATGGTTTAAATATTAAATTAATTTAAAATATCGTAGTATTTTAATTAAATATTTAAAATATTAACATTGAATTGACCATTCTATTTCTTTAACAGTTAATTTAAACATTGAATATTAATTTAGATCTAATATATAATATATTTAAAACGTGTGAACCAATTTTTAAAAACTTTTGTATTTATCATATTGATAATTTAAAATGATACAACTAATCTTTATTATCTTAAAAATCCAATTAAACAAATTTAAAAATTAAGCATTAATTTAAAATCTGGATCAAAGTTGAAGATGTGGGTTGAATTAAGCCTTTTATGTTTAAAATTAGGCAGATCTCCTCGGAATCCCCCAATCAAACAATGACTTTTGGTAACAATTCTGCCTATGAAGTTTTGTTTAAATAAAAAAAAGAAAAGAGGTAGACAAGGAATCAAGTGTTTGTGAAGAAACTCTTAAACCCATTTTTTAATATTTGAGATGATCGATCTCTAGTGTTAAAATATGCGATACAGTCAGCAACATGTGTGGGATTTTCATATAGATACCTCTTCCAAGTCTTTATTAGTATTTTATTTTTTATGAATTAGGATCATTTTTCGTTTATTCGTTTAATAGTTTAAATAAAGATTAATCATGTCGTATTAGGTGAAATCATAAGAGTTTTAAAGTTTTTTTTTATATTTACAACAGAAGACTCTAGTTTATTAAAAGAGAAAATATTCAAAATTACAATAAATGTTTATAATTATAAACATACACTAAACATATAATTATAACATTTTCCTATGACCATTGACGTAAGAAACTAGTCAGATTATATTATAAGGACTATACAAGGAAATTGTTAAAAACTCATCTAAAAAATTCGAACAAAACATAAATATGAGTATATCTGAATGCATCAGCAAATAAATCATAACAGAAGATCAAATAGAGTGTTGTAAGAAAACTATCTACGAGCGCAAATTGCGTATCTAAATCCAATTCGAGGGTCCAAAGCAAGGAATATCAACATGATAACAAATAAGTAACATTTTGACCAGTCAAGGCGACGTTAAATCCAACAATGAGAAAAATAAACGAGAAGAACGAGCAAATGGCAATAAGAAGACCAAAAGCGTGCCAAAAGATATAGAAAAACATGTCATAAAACAGTAGAAATCGAAGAAAAAAGAAAAACAAAGATGTAATATAAGAAAAAAAGATACTATCGATAAATGATCAATGCCAAAGATGCTCCTCTCGTCTGTCAATAAAGACGAAAAGAGGATAGTAAGGATAGACGACAGTGTAAGTCAAGAGAAAACTTACTACACCCAATGATATCAAAATTTTCTTATCAAATATTTAATGTTGTTACATTCTAAAAGATTTAAATTAGAAACTTTGATTAAATTGATCTAAATGTTTGATGGTTTATTAATACTTTATGAGGAAGTAAAAGGGGAAAAGGAGAGCATCAAAATGTGGTGTGAGATGTGAATGAGGTGATAATAAAGAAATATAGCACTTTTATAGGGAACTGTTCAAATGGGGAATATGAAATGTTCTAAACTGACCCATGCTACCTTCTTTGTTGATTTTGGTCGGGAAAATCATGATATGATTTTAATATGATAATTGAAAATAATAACAACTTACAAAACATTATATATGTGATAATTTTAATATAAATTTAAGAATTTACCAATCACATGATCAAAGTATATATTCTTTGGCATCTTAGCTGGCTGGCAAGTCGTTGACTTAACCAGTGATTGGTTAATTAACTGTCAAAGAAAGTCAGGCTTCTCTTTTTATATAAGCTGCTAAGCTCATGCACTTGTCATTCACAAACTTCTGAATCAAACCCTAAAACAAAATTTATCATCTTTTAAACGGGACGTACAATGGTTTTTAAGTTAGGAGATATACATATATAATTTTATGGAATAATTTTATTAAAAATAATAATTACGAATTGGAACACACTAATTTATCATTGGCTTTTAGCTTAAAGTCTCCATACAAATTATGCTACCTTTAATCCAAATCACTTGTTCTATTCACATTGTTAATGTCATTCATAATAAGCTTCATTGAATTAATATGAATTATTATTATAAAATTATTATGTGACAACTCAAAAACATATTATTATCATTTTGTAAGAACAGCTGCAGGCAGGTCTGGAATAGAGTAAAGAAGAGAATGATAGGTTAATTAGGATGCAAGTATAGAGAAAGGCATTTAGTAAAAAAGAGGGCAGGGCAGGGCAGGACAAGGCAACGAGAAAGCCGAGTGTCAGCATTTTGGCGTGCATTACTGAGCTTGATGTTGAGTGTGTTAATGCTTACCCCTTTCTCCCAAAAACCCAATGAAACTAGACTACTTTCTTCACCAATATTGATAAACAGAAATACCCAAAGCAACAAAGTTGAAGTTTTTGGGTTTGTGTTCAAAGGAAAGTCATAGTATTGCCAGTACAAATAAAACCCTGATTAAAAAAAAAACATTTGCCAACATCTTTGGCTTTTTCTCCAACACTGAATCTTGTTTGAATGTTGTTCTTTTTATAGTTTCTGGTTCTTTTTTGTGGGTTTTCGTGTGTAAATTTCATTACTTCCTCCATTTGACACAAATTTGTTGCAATGGTGGTGTAAAATTCCTGTGTAATTTATGGTTTTGCCATTGTTTTTCTTCTTCGCTTTTTCCATTCCAAGTTGATTGTGGCCACTTTCCCAGTTTTCCATTCATGTGGTGTGGTGGGGCATTTGTGATTTTTTTACTGCAAAAAAAAAAATCGGATCTTTAGTGTAGGACTTTCGTTATTTAATTTAGATTTCCGTGATATATTCTGGTAGTTTCCTCAGATTTCATTACTATAGCACCTTTATAATTTTTGTTATCCTTTTTCATTGATTCCCATACTCTGAATGAAAATATAATAATAATAATAAAGGTATATGCTTGTTATCTACCGTTCTGGTGGTTTCTTCAACTGATACCAAGATGCTGTTTTCCATTGCAGGATTTCAGACTTCAACGGTAATATATACATATTATATATGTATATATTATTAGTATATGTCAAGTTTGGAACTTGAAGCTTTAAAGGGCCTTAAAAGGTCTTGGTGATGTGAATCTTTTATGTACTTTTTTAAGAGGGGGAAGCAAAGGAACGGGAGTAATCAGTGAAAAGAGTCTGTTGTTTATGTCTCCTAAGCCGACCGAGTGCGCCCGGACTCGGTGGGCTTTGCAGTCAACAAAGGAAACAACCTCTTCCATGGCTCTCTTGCCATTCAAGAGAACCTTTTCCTAAATTATCACTCAAAATCCCCCATTTCTCCAGTTATCTCTCTCTCTCTCTCTTATTCAGACCCTCCCCTGCCTCGATTGCTTTCCTAGCATATATCCCTTCCCTTCTTCTGGATCAGTCTTCGGTCTTTAGAATCACCGAAAGCTGATTGAATTAGGAAAGCTTGGTCCCCACAGCTGGGGCATTGGTTACCACTTCTGGTAACTTTTCGTTGAGTTGGTGTTATGTTTCATTCGTTATGCAAGTAGCTAGCTGAGTGCCTGGTGTTTGATTCATTTGTAATAGGATCTTAGTAACCGTTTGAGGTTTTAGAGAGTGAAGGGGTTCTTTTGTTTGCCAATATGAAGTTTATGAAGCTTGGATCGAAGCCGGATACATTTCAGAGCGATGGGAACAATGTGAGGTAAGATCTCTTGGACCCTTATTTGCTATCTATCATTGAATAAGAAAAAGAATTGTCCACTACGTTCAATCCTTTGACTCTTGCATAAGAATATTAAGTGATAATCTCTTGCCTCAGTCGATTATTTTTGTTCATTTTCAAGTGCGTACTTGGAAATCATACGATTGTGGTAGCGATGCCTCTTTCGATTATGCTTAAATTAGGAATCGTCTTGGGACTCTGTGATTTATTGGTATACCTTAGAATGTTTGATGTGATTTGCAGCTTTTGTAGGCCACAGATCTGTTATGCTCCTCTCGTATCTTCATTCAAGTGTTTTCTATCTGAAGTGGTGTACATCCTTGAAAATCTAACTAATATTCTTTGGTTTTGACTTTTGATCTTTCTTTTCTTCACTTAAATCCCTATGGTTCCTTCTGTTTATGTTATACTTTCTGGCCTTCTGCACATCGGGTTATACCAACTCTGATTGTGCATGACACAAATAGTTATGATTTCAGATTCATGATCCTTGAGATCTAGTAATAGGTAGTTTAACTTCTGCTTATGAAGATACAGAGAATCTTCCACTTTCGGTTCCTTATTATCATATTCGATCTCGTTGAGGACATTGATGTGTTCGACCCTGAATTTGTTAAAGCAATAGCAACCTCAGGAATGGTGGTTGAGGTTCAAAATTAAATTGAATCATAACAACATCCGGTTAAAGTTTGATGAGATTGCCCCTCTTAGGACGCTTATTGTGCCACGACGAAATCTGAATTCTATTTCTTGCTGTATTATTCGATGTGGTAATGCATTGACTTATATCTCCATGTCAGGTACGTGGCAAATGAGCTCGCAACCGATGTCACTGTCACTGTAGGGGATGTTAAGTTTTATCTGCACAAGGTATGCATTTTCTTCTTGTTAACGTAAATTTCCGTCTATGGTTGAGCATTGTCTTTGAGCGTCACGTCCTTGCTAGAATGCATTACAATATACCATACATGAAATCTGAACTTATAACTTAATGAACATATATGCAGTTTCCTCTTCTGTCAAAAAGTGCATGCTTGCAAAAGTTGGTTGCAAGTGGTAATGAGGAAAACAATGATGAAGTTCAGATTTCCGACATTCCCGGAGGTCCAACTGCCTTTGAGATATGTGCCAAATTTTGTTATGGCATGACTGTCACCCTTAATGGTTACAATGTTGTCACTGCGCGATGTGCAGCCGAGTACTTAGGAATGCATGAGACCATTGAAAAAGGGAACCTAATTTACAAGATTGACGTCTTCCTCAACTCCAGCATCTTCCACAGCTGGAAAGATTCGATCATTGTTCTTCAGACCACGAAATCTATGTTACCATTATCCGAGGAATTGAAGGTGGATGGTCTTTGCATCGATGCTATAGCTACCAAGGCTTGCAGTGATGTTTCCAAGGTTGATTGGTCCTACACTTATAACCGGAAGAAGCTCCCAGAGGAAAACGGGAACGATCCGAACTCTAATGGTTTCAGAAGCCGACTGTGCCAAAGGACTGGTGGGTCAAGGATTTGTGTGAACTCGAAATAGATTTGTATAAGCGTGTCATAATGAATATTAAAACAAAAGGAATACTGTCTCATGAAGTGATCGGAGAAGCTTTGAAAGTTTATTCTTACAGAAGGTTGCCCGGTTTTAGTAAGGGTGTGATCCATTCTTGGGATGTCTTTAAGTATAGGTCAATGGTTGATACAATTGTTTGGTTGTTGCCTGCGGAGAAAGGAAGTGTATCTTGCAGTTTCTTGTTGAAGTTATTGGAAGCAGCCATCATTGTTGACTCGGGAGAAATGGCTCAGGAACAACTGGTAAGGCAAATAGGACAGCAACTGGAGGAGGCTTCTGTAAACGATCTTTTGATACGAGCAGGTGAAGGAGAAGATGTGATGTACGATGTTGATACGGTAAAGAAAATGGTGAAAGAGTTTCTGATGCAAGATCAGAATGCTGAATTCGAATCCGAAGAAAATGAGGTCCAGGAGATACGAAGACCCGGAATTTTAACCGATGCTTCCAAGCTGATGGTGGCAAAATTGATAGATGCTTACCTTGCTGAAATCGCCAAGGATCCCAAGTTACCCTTGTCAAAGTTTGTAGACCTAGCTGAAATGGTGTCTTGCATCTCTCGACCTTCTCACGATGGTCTTTACCGAGCCATTGACATGTTTCTTAAGGTGAGAATCTTGCATAAGTATTTTTTTTTTCAATTCACATCAAATAGTTATATTATTAAACTTGAACAGATAACGTTAACCTTTTTCTATATACCTCTTTAACTCGACTCGGCTTCAATGCAGGAGCACCCCGGGATCAGTAAGAGTGAGAGGAAAAGAATATGCAAGTTAATGGACTGCAAGAAACTATCGGTTGATGCATGTATGCACGCTGTGCAAAACGAGAGGCTCCCGTTGCGTGTAGTTGTGCAGGTTCTGTTTTTCGAGCAGGTAAGGGCTACTACTTCATCGGGGAGTAGCACTCCTGACTTGCCTAGAGGCCTGAAGGATCTCAATATAAGATCTCACGGGAGCTCAAGGTCAGCAGCAACCAACCCGGAGGAAGATTGGGACGCAGTGGCCACAGCCGAGGAACTCAAGGCCCTGAAAGGGGAAATAGCTGCCTTGAGGATGGGCAACTGTATAGGAGGGCGTGAAAGAAATGGTGGAGATAGTAGAAATAGCATCGACAGAGCCGCTATTAGTAAAATGAAAGGTTTACTAAAGTCCAAGAGGATATTTTCAAAGATATGGTCAAGCAAAGGAATGCAAGGTGAAAACAGTGGTTCGGATTCATCGGAGAGTCTCGGTTCTGTCAATCCTGAAGAAGCCAAATCAACACCATCCAGAAATAGAAGACATTCGGTTTCTTAAAGTAAGTGTAAGGAAAACATGGTAGCAGGCTTTTGGTGTTTGGTTTTATGGAGCTTTTACTAAATTCAAGAATTAGTTTAATGTTAATTTAGCTAAATGAAAGGATATATATTCATGAACCAAACCTTGCTGACACTTCACAATGCTGTAAGGAAAAATGTGGTTACCGTATAATGAACTTGAGGGGTGCTCATATTGAAGACACGTACAGAGCAGGCAGCCATTCATGTTAGCTGTTCTTAACTAAAATGAAATGAAAATGACTTGAATTCTCTTCATGGTTTTCAAGTTTCCTTCTCAATTTATCTTACATGGAAAACAAAATCCATCTATTATCAGCTCCCATTACAGTTAATTGCTGTTTGATCAACAAGGCTTATTCGATTCGGAGAGGAAGCAGAATTCATTTTCGTGCACTCAGCTCATGCATTTGGAGAGGAAAAAGATGGAATGTGATTTAACAAGCATCAACGAAATCATGCTAAGATTGATCTATGTAGGCCAAGAAATACATGATAATGGATGAACTTACATATTTATACATACAATGCTTTCTTGTACCTAAAATAACCCAAAATCAGGAGTTCTTGTATACATAAATCAGTTGAGAGGAAAACCACTTGATCATGAAAGAAGACAACTGGTTCTAAAACTGCTAAAATGAGAAGACAAACCTAGATATACAGTCCGCTGTGACTTTGCGAGGTTGCTGCCTACATCTATTGCAAGAAAACATGAGCTCGGAGTGCAATGTTAGAGTTTAGGGTGAGTTGTCAAATAACATCAGTTCTACACACGTGTCGTCAGGTTGCTGGTCATGTGGGTACACGATTTAGTTGTATTATATGTGACCTCATGCTACAGTCCTTAACCTGTTGAAAAGATTCATAATGAAGCACATGAGCAGATGAAGACAAACAAAGCTTGGAACATAAAACAAAACACAGTATTTACCTGAACGGCTGCTAACGCAGACAAAAGGTCTTTACATCGTTCAAGCAAAGCCTTTTCGTTTGAAGCCAAGCTCACAAGTTCGGCCACCAAAGAATTCATTTCCTCCACCTGCAAAGGACAAATGAGACTTTAGATAATTAAATAGATTTTCCTTTTTCAAAGTGCCACAAATAATCTGTTTCAAACAGGAATTTACTCTCTTGATAAGGAATAATAGTAGTTCCTGTTGACAGAAACTCTGATCTGATTTTCAGATCGTAAAAGCAAGGTAAAGATTCCAATCAGCTGCAAACGATCTTTTTATTAACTTTTGTTTCTTTTGAGTATTACCTTTCCAGTGAGCAACTGAATTGGAATACTGAATCTCTGCTTTTACAGCCCGTTACGGATGGTAACATGTATACTTCAACCGTCTATCTAGTTTCACCACAGTTATTTATGGTTGAGTGCTTTAGTCTCTCATTTCAGAGCAATTTCCATTTCCCGCGGCCACAATCAGTATTTTTATCTAATGTCAATTAAGAACTTTACAAGTTACATGTTAAGCTACTTATCAGGGAAAGATTATTTCTTTCTAGTAAAAAGAATATTACTATTTTAGATGTCAGTTTTATCACTGGGAAAATATTGAGATTTTAATTATGAGTATTCCTACTTTTTTAGAAGTATTTCCTTAGTAGGATTACTTGGTTAGTAAGTCTTTCAATTGAACTGTGTAACATCTGTATTTAAGAGGCGAATTGATACTTGAATAAAACAAGTTAGAATGACAAAAAAAAGATCTCGGTCTCTTTTAACGAGTACCTAGGTTTCAATCTCCCTTCGATGAGCTGATCTATCTAACATCATAGGTTGTTCTAAGAATATAGTTAAGGTGATCGCTTCCGACGTTCTCGTTAGTTGCCAAGTGACTTAAGTCATATGTGGAGACCATAACATTACAACTGGCTTGTAAAGAACTCAATGATTACAAACAATTACCACAATACATAAAATAACTTTATGATTTTTATTTTGTAAGACTAATATTCCATAAAATTGAATTAATGAATTTACCTTTGATGATAGTGAACATATAGAAGATGCCATTCCCTGCATCATCTCAACTGCTGAACTGACAGAATCCTTCAGATTTTGGATATCGACCTATTATAAGAGAAAACAGAGAAGACAAGGAGGAACAAGAGCAACATTTTAAACCACACTGATTGTCATGAACTGAATCATTAACACATTACACATTGAAAAGTTGAAGGAAAAAAAAGGATGAAACTTACTGTGGCTTTTCCAACAATTGGAAGTCGGAGAGTACTAGCCTTTAAAGCCTCAGTTGCTCCTAGCAAAGAGCCAGAGTGGTCTCTTTCAAGGAGGGCCCATGCTTCTAAACGAGCTATCTACTACATTCACCAATTATAAGAAGTTTGTCATGAAGAGGATTCATGCAATAAAGCCAACATCTCGTGACAGAGAGTGGAAACGATTAAGCCTGTTCTAACTAGCATGCACTAAGAAGTGAGGGACGGCAATGGAGGATCTAAGGAACCATCAACAACCTTTCTCCTTTTGGGAAAGAAATATAACAGTACAAAATTTTCTCTTCTTGACTTTCCTTATTTTTATTTGCTTTTTGCTTTCTTACTTCCTCTACCTCTAGAAGATCTGAAGATGCACGAAGCACGATAGTCATATAAATCAAACACTGGTCCGTTCTCTACGGCATACAAGAACAAAAACTCTAATTTTCCATTTTTTGCCATGTTTTATGTGTTAAAGTATCAATGCTGAGTACTTACTCATTTTAAGATGAAAGTGAATTATTACTGCTTCTAAGCAGGTATCATCGTGGATTAAATATTAAAGGCCAGGCAGCTGCCTTTAACCATTTCAGGAAACTAAAAAAAAAAATCCTCATTATAAGATCATGTCCTAAGTTGATGATTTCATTCTCATCATAGTATCCCTGAAAATGTTGTATTTTTTAAAAAAATGGAAGTGATATGACAAATATGACGAAGGTAAATCCATAATCAGATAGTTGAAACAGTTGTCTACGAAAAAGTCTGCAAGGATTTGGTTCAATACTTTGAGAAACTTAAAGTTTTGAAACATACTTGTCCTTTAAGGATGGAAGTCAATTTCAACTTTTGCCTCAGCAATAGCAACTTTATTCTCTTGAGGGTGACAGAATGCCGCAGTTCGGATGTTGTTACCCATGCATTCCACAGATTTTTCTGATACAAAATAAGAACACATTGGAGATGAACATACCAGACTTAGTATAGATCGTGTTAAACCTCAACTCACGATTATTATTAATCGCAGTTACCAAAGAAGTGCTGACATCCTAAAGAATAGAAGCAGAGCAATTTTTCTGATTCTACCGGTTAATGTAATCCTTGAATAAGCCCTTTTAACTGATATACAGTCAGCATCATTCAGTTATCTCTTGCAAAGAACAGAATAAGAGTATCATGGCCAATTGACAACAGATATTAATGGAATCCAATCTACCATTTAAATAATTCCTCGCCGGGTGTATCTTTATTTTCTGCCTCATTTTTTCCCAGTATGTATGTCCATTGGACATTCCATTAAGCAAATCTACAACAGTAAATAGTGCGTAAGAGAGAGAGAGAGAGAGAGAGAGACTGAAACAGCTTGAAAATCTCTTCATAAGTTCAGAATTATGACTAGAACGACACAGAAAATCAGCCTGAATTGAAATACTTTAATCTCACAGATCGAATTCATACAGTTTTACAATGAACAGTCACTCCACATTGACTCCATATAACAACTCAAATCATCAGAATAGGATTTTTCTTTTTTTGATAATTAACCTTTCTTTGCCTCAAACTCAGAAAGAAAAAATAAAGGACAACAGAATGATAATAAGGCCAGAGTAAAACATTTATCGGAATCTGGCCCAATGACTAACTGTACAATGTCATTGAATTGAACAACAGAGGCTTTCCAAAGAGCAAGCTTATCTTCCCAATGTGATAAAATGTATACATCTTCAGCCTCTCTCTAACAGTGAGAGAATGAAAGAGAGAAGAAGAGGCTGCTCAATAACATTCATAATTATATGTTTCTCAATGATTTACAACATCTTGAGTGGATATGTATCATGCCAAAGCTGCCTAGAGTTCTAGTGCTTATCTTCAACATGGAGCCAACTCACAGATCATTGACCACATCAAAGAATTTTTACTCTTCAAAAGCAATATACTGCCTTAAGATCCTTCTGTCACTAAATCTAGTCTTTTAGCATATATAAAAAGGACATCTGAGCAAGGAACACTTTCTTAGGAACTATGCATGAATTCAGCAATTTAGCACCCAAATATATATAATAACATATTGGACAAGACTACATGACACTCTCCAAGGGATATCATAATGCAAGAACTATGGCGACACTTGCATCATAGGCAATTACTTGCCAAACCAACATTGGTGAAATAAATTGAAGCATTAATCAAACAGACTAACAAAAATCCAGTAGGTATGAACATGTTGAGAATTATGAGATGGACAGGGAGGGTAACCATACCTCAGCACTCCGTTTCTGCATGATGAAAGTAGCATCTGCCCTTGTATTTGCAAATCTCCATTGCAAATAACCATTATAAAAAAGCCTCAACATGTGAGCATCAACAATTCGATCCTCTCCCTTCTTTCCTCTCCGAATATCAACAGAAAAGCTAAGAATTGAAAGGGTATTAACAGCATTACCAATCGTCTCTTTACCACCGACTGCATTTCTAACCCGACCAGGACTTAGCCCCCTTGATGGAAACAAATTCAAAGATGTCCAAAGCTTACCAGGAGAAGCAGGTCTTATAGTACCCCCCATAGGAGAAGCCACTGCACCATGACAAGAAATCCTTTTTGATTGACTAAACTTAGCTGGAGAACCAATTCTAGACCCTGGGCTTGAAGCAAAGGCGAACCCGGGTCCTGCAACCGCCTTAACCGACTATTAGTTTCCTGCCAAAACCTTGCAGACACATTAATATTACGGGGTCCGTTCTTTCCTTTCAAATCCCTACTTCTTCCAGTTCCAGCATTGGTGCTCCCAGAAGATATACTATCTGTATCATATGCAGCAAGTTCACTATGACCCTCATTTAAAGAATTGGAATCTGGGTTTTGTTTATTAGCTTCTTTTAATAACTCAGAACTTCCCAAATCCAAACTC